TTGTATATTACAGTATATTTATGTGTGTGTATATGTGTGTATATATATGTGTGTGTGTGTGTGTGTGTGTGTGTGTGTGTGTGTGTGTGTGTGTGTGTGTGTGTGTGTATGTGTGTGTGTGTGTGTGTGTGTGTACGTGCGTACATACACATACACATACACATACATAAACATATATATATATATGTATGTATGTATGTATGTATGTATGTGTGTACATATATATGTATATATGTATGTATGTGTGTGTACATGTGTAGTATTTCTTTCTTTGTGTGTAATACGGTAGGTGTTTCTTTTTATTTCTTCACCAATGTCATCTAGTTCTTCCTCTCCCTCTTCATTATCACCATCCTCCTTCTTATCCTTTTTCCTCTACTTCTTCCTCCTTATCCTCCACCCACTACTACAAATTATTGCTCCATCACTATCGTCATCACCATCATAATCAAATGCTAAAAGAACCACACACGCACACGCACACTCACGCGCGCACACACACACACACACACACACACACACACACACACACACACACACACACACACACACACACACACACACACACACACACACACACACACACACACACACACACACACACACTCACACTCAAACCATTACAGCTTCTTAATACAACATTTGCTAACTAAAACTTTTGCTTACCACATCTGTTTACTATAACTTCTGATTACCACAACACCCGCTTACCACAACCTCTGCTTGCCATAACTTCTACCTACCACAACATCTGTCTACCATAACTTTTGCTTACATCTGCTCACTATATCTTTTGCCTACGAATCTCTCTTAATCCCTCAGCCGTTATCATCCTCACACAATCCTTTGATAACATTGTCTTACCTATCTGGGATCCTTGAACTTGTGTGTGTGTGTGTGTGTGTGTGTGTGTGTGTGTGTGTGTGTGTGTGTGTGTGTGTGTGTGTGTGTGTGTGTAAGTTTAGATCTATATGGAAGCAATTCGATAAATATATGTATAGTAACTTATGAGATATCATGACAACAAACAACTCAATATATATGTTCTCTTGCTTGGGAGAAAAATTGACACATAAAAGTTCATAATCATCATGACTAAGCTACAGGCCTCTTCTTTCCTTCGTCATCGTCGATGTATCGCTGAGAGAGACAGAGACAGAAAACGTCAATGTTAATCTCGGCCTCTCCATGCCTTGTCCATTATCAGAAACATCCTTAGGATAAAAATAGTAATTAAATTTCCTTTTAACCCCAACCTCCCTCTTTTCCTCCCCTGCCAAGGCCGCCCGTGTTGAGCGCGAAGTAGCGAGGTTCCAGCGCACGATCGACGAAACGCAGAGGCGCTGGGAGGAGAACTACGCCCGCGCCGCCCCTCGCTCCGCGCCCGCCACAGGGCATTCCGACAGCTCGACGGAAGGGCTTCACAACCCGCGACCCGGTGAGTGTGGGCGACCTCGTGTTCGTTTTCTTTCATTGTTTAGGATTTTTTGTCGTAGAACAAGAGTGAGTTTTTGTTTATTTTATATACATCGTCATGGGACACTTTCACTAACGAAAACCTCTTTGTTTTTTATTTTTTCATGTGTGATTTGGACCTGAATTTTTTCTTTGAATGGGATATTCGGCAGTCTTTTAATTCCAGATGTCTATAGACTTATCCCTACCCCCCTTTCTTCCAAATACTAATTGACCGTTTCATTATAAACTCCAGTTACAGCGATAGGCCATGCTAGGGAGGTTAGTTGAACTTGGACGCGTCGGTTGAGGGAATACAGTGCCTTGTGAAGGCGTGACTCACCCTCTCAGTCCCCTGTAGGAGATTTTCAGGCCATCTCTCCATAGAGACTGATAGGTGGACACCCTGGCACTTGGTACTGTCGCATGACTAGATCATTAAACAAAAGAGTTCACAGAGAGCCCCATCGTGTCCAGATTTTTGGACGATCAAGAGCTAAAATTGTTGACAAGCCTTGGATGCCATTAACATACAGATTGCTTAACACCCTTTGCTTACACCCCTGTAGCCGCTCTCCGGGGTGGCTCCCGCACTCGCCCGCACTTGCACGGCTAGATGATCCTCAGAGAACCACGGCCTCACTTGCACTTGTTCTTGCGCCATTTTGTCTCGATTATTGAACATTTATTTATCCAGACATATGTTATTGAGCACAAGATGTGTCATTTTTAAGGATTTAACGAAATTTTCGAAAATAACAGTTTTATTTGAATATATAACATTTGCATATGTTCTTCAGACATTTTGATAAAATATTAACATCTATCTGGAGATACGCAGGTAGTTCGCCAAAAACACAATGGACAATCCAATGACCCTACTGCTTCCATTGCAGCTGCCTACCTGGTGCCTCCTCGGCATGATCTGTGGCGGACAGTGAGCGTGGACACCCTCGGCGAGCCGGCGAGAGACAGGACGACGCTGCAGCCTCTCCTGCGCCACACCAGCGTCGACAACCTCAGGCCCTCGACGAAGGTGTCCAACCTGAGCCCGCTCGGCCCTAACCCCCGCCAGAACAGTATGAACACAGTGAGTAGCCTGAGTAACATCAACCTGAGCAATAACTGCGGAGGGAGCAAGGCGGCGCCGAGCTACCAGCCCCAGCCAGCGCACGGCCAGTCAGTCGAGAGCATGAGCGGCTACAGCGACGGGGAGAGCCACGGCGACGGCAACGACAGCGACGTGTCCACGAGCACGCCCGACAAGGTCCCCGTGCTGCCGTCAGTCAGGAAATTGGCTTCGAAGTTCGACGTCGCGAGCAGAGAGAGGGTCAATGATTTAGATAAGCACGGGAAAGATGTGAGTACACCGTGGTTTCCCTTTCGTCAGTGTTAACGTTTCTATTTTGTTTCAGGAGATTAATGTGTATAGATATTTATATATATGAAGTAGTATTTTAGAATTTGTATTTCATCTATATACTTGCGGTACTGAAAATAAGATCCTCTTTGCTAAACAGGGTTCTCTTGCATTTAATGGAAAGAAGAACATCTTCATCGAGAAATCCTCCCCAACTGACCCGCCGTACATCAGGAACCTCACCAACAACCTCAACAAGAGAACCGAGAAGACCTATAACGTTAAGGAGGTAAGGTCTTTGCCCAACAGATCTAACACCACACACGACCCCCAACCCGCTTCTGACACTGACACTTACTTTACTGATCATGACGACTCTGAGTTTGACGATCAGGCCACAGTGACCAGTGTCAGCTTGCCTCCGACGCCCCATTCGCTCAATGGGGGACTCAGCTACAGCACTTCCAGCCTCTTAGACTCCGACTCTTGCTATTCACTGGACTCTAGGGACCAGAACCAAGCCTCCCCCGGCGAGGAAGCGGCCAAGACCATTTTCGGGGTCACGCTGCGGAAGGTCAGTTCTTCATCTGGGAGCAGGTCGTCCGTGTCCAGTAATTCCCTTCGAACAAATGACGAATCTACCTGGCATAACAGCCACTATGACCGACAGAACTCTTATTCCAGCTCAGTTGATTTGCATCACGAAAGGACTCCGATTTCAGAAACAGACAGCGATTCCGATGCCCCCAACGCCCTTCGGCAAGTAACGATTATCAAAATTGATGACAAAACAAAACATGAGTATCAGAGCATGACAGATTTGTCTCTAAAATATCCCAAGGAACATGACAATCAAAGGAGGTACAGCAGCACCTTGAACCTTGCTTCAGAAAGTGAATTTGCTGGAGCAAATCAACCCGTCCGGAAGACGTCTCTGCAGGCGCTTCCTCCCCTCCAGCCCCTGAGTGCAAATTCCAGGCAGAAGAGCATGCCAAACCTCGCTGCGATGCCCAGCATAGCTTTTGCGCCAAAGGGACGCAAAAGGTCAATGCGCGATTTCCTTAAGAGTTATCAGAGACAGACATCCCTGAGTGAGATTAACAGGATCGAGGAAAAAGTTGAGGAGGAGTGGAATAACCAGAGGAATGGACACGTCCCTCTGCAGCGCATGACTTCAGCACCTGCATGGAATCATAACAGTTTCCATGAAGAGCAGAATTTATCTCAGAGTAGAGACATACAACCAGTTCAGGAGGCAGTAGCAAAACATGAAACCTCCTCTCCTGTTCTAGAAACTGAACAAACACAAAGAACAAATGATATTGAGTCACCACCACCTGTTGCATGTCAGAATTCTCTGCCACCCACGAACCATAGTTCTAAGATAGAATATCCCTCTTATGAAGAAGAGATTGGCCAGGGAGTCAAGAATGTCCAGCATGAATCTGATGATGAATCAAGTATGTCTGACAGTACAGTTACCTCAGACACTCCAGAACAAGACGATACAAAGAAAGCACCCATGAAGAGGGCTAAAAGTGTATCTGATCTGTTGAAGCTTTACACAGACATGGAAACCAAAGCTGGAAGACCGCCAAGTAGAATTTCAAAGAAAGAATTATTCGGTTCACAAGACCTACTCCGTAAAAAAACAATTCAGCAAAGTCATGAAGAGGAACTGATCCAGAGGGAATTTGTGCAGTCACGCGAACAAGTGCGAGGGAAAATGACCCAAGGAACCAGCCTTGAGGAAAAGTTTTCACCAAATGCTTTCCTTGAGGACCAAAGAGTAGAGAACTCAGTGGAATATGTTGGAACCGCGCCCGATCTGTCAAAGACATACATGCAAGAACAAGTCCAAAGTGAACCGAATCAAGATACAAGTACAAATGAAGTGCCGTCACCAAGGGTTGTTCTTGACGATGGGAAAGTGAAGGATTTCTTAGAATATATTGAAGGTGGGTCTTATACATCGACCCCAGACAGTGCAAAGGAACCAAACACCACTGAAGGAACGACTGAAATGGACACACACAAAAAGCCATTGGTAAAGGCTAAAAGCATTTCAGACCTTTTGAAATTATATTCTGATAAACAGAGCAATGGAGAAGAGACACCTTTGAGACAACCCACAGAAGATTCGAAGGTGAAAGCAAACAAAACTATCATAACTCTCTCTGACAACGAACAATATCCAAAAATACAATCAACTTCTGCAAAAGTAATCTCTGTTGAAGAGCCTGTGTCCGTGCACAGATCCAGAGGCCTTGAGAACATTCCACTTAAACCGTCTGTAATTTCCAGCAAAGCCAGCTCGTATGATCAGCCAGACTCGAAGACACCAAAGCTTCAGCATGATCTCCGCAGAAGTCCAAAGACAAATGCCAAAAATACAGGGACAATTACCTCAGGCAGTGTACCCTCTGAAAAGCCTGTTCTCTCACAAAATACAAAACCATTCGGTAAGACTTCCAGATCAAACGAGAAAATGAACGACAATGTTACTAACAAAGATAGAAATGGAAATTCAATTTATGAAGGAGAGGATAACAGAACAGTCATTAGTGTTTCAGACAATTCGCCTCATTCCCTTTTCCATGCCAGTATCATTAATATAGACAGTGAAGATAGTGGTTACTCGCCTGTAAAGTATCCTTCTTATAATGACGCACATCATTATCCCCCATTGGAAGATGAGAACACAGGCAAAGGATATTATTCTACCAGCAACCCAGAGGTGAAATATTCCCAAGTCATTCCTATTGAAATGGACAACCGCTCGTCACAGAATAGACCAAAGATGATTTCCGAAGACACAAATGACTACCCAGTGCAAGTGATTGAGGCGGAGTCAAAGGGACCTCATGTTACAGTCATTTCCCTCACAGAAGCGCCCTCTTCTGTGCCCCCTCCTGTGCTTCCTCCTGCACCGCCCTCTTCCGATGAGAGCAGTGAGGAAGAAGCGATGTGCGATCCTCGGTCCCTCACGAAAATGATCGTCCACGGATCCCGATGCGGAAGCAGCACCAACAGAAGACCCGGCCAGAGAAAGAAAAGCATAACGGCGGCCTCCGTGCCCCTTAACTCTCCATTCTCACCAGTCAGGAGAAAGGCTTCGCTCTCTCCCGACGGTACAGTCATCTCCCCGACAGCCGTCACCACTTCCCCGACATTCACAGACGCCCCTTTGCTTAAAACGAAGCTAGGACCGCAGTACTCCTTTGACGAAGGGGTCGACCTGACGCTGAGTGACGCTGACCTTGCCCAGTCAGCCGTCTCAACCGAGTCGAAGTCAACCAGCAGTGTGGACACCATCGGCAAGGACAGCCCCGAGCCCAGGGTACTGTGCGACTAGAGGCACGCGTGCATGACACAGAAAGGGTCAAGAGAATGAGGTACTACTGGACTCCGGATCAGTCAGTCGTGGGCCTGTCGGTTGTTGTTGGGTCTTCTCACTTGCAAAGTCTTTCAGATTTCAGTCAACTCCATGATATAGTGCATGTAATTTGAGTTACTTAGTTAAACACTATGAACATTATTATGGGGGATTTACTTTGCATATTTTCTTATTAAATGGCAGGACAGTTCTAAGTTATTATTGCCATGGGTGATTCCATAGATTACAGGGAATTTAGTTGATATACGAATTACTATATAATCCTTACCATATATTTTGATGTTATACTACACCCCCCCCCAAAAAAAAAAAAAATGAAATCTGAAAGAATTGCTGAGATTTGAACTGCGAACGTCCATTTTCGTGGGGATTTCCTGCTTTATGAAAACGAACTACAATATCTTGAAATTTGGTCTTAATGGAACTGCTTGCAAAATACATACACATCTACCTGTTGATTGCATATTGTGTATGAAGGTGGTCGAATTCAAGATTTCCCTTATTGGTGCTGGTATTGTTTGAATTCGTCTTGTGTTGGTTAATTTTATACTGAATGGGAGAAATTTTCTATCATTTGTATTTCTCTGTGCTATCTGTGGGTCTCAATATTCTTGTAATAATAAGCACCATTATGTGAATATTATGTGGACTCCAGGTGGTTTTGTACATTTGAATACATACTTTATGATCTTTGTATGTGGATGTTTTTTTCTTGTATTTTTTTTCATTAATGCACTTACTTGCTACCAATATGTTGGGTTCCAAACGTACAATGTTGCACCTCTTTTGAATGATTTCCCATCTTCTACTGTATTACTATACTCGTTACTTCTGCACATTCCTCATTACTGTCGTGATTGCCTCTGTGACGCTATGACTTCTTTACGTTGAACTGTGACTGTGGGATTGTGACATTGTTCTGACTGGACTTTTGCTTGCTTGCCTTCACTGTATGTTATTTCTTGACAACTGTTTGAGATTTTATGTTCCTGTCTTATTTTACAATTTTGATGATCTTATTTTTTAATAGATATTTTGATTATTCATGTTTCAGCTCTAAGTTTATATTTGTTTAGTGAATGATTTTTTAAAATATAAAACTAAAAGATATTGATGTGAGCATACAAATTTTCTTTTTGTACTTGTATCTTCTACAAGCACACACATAAGCACAGACACACACAGGGACGCTTACAGTAATTTTTTCACTACCAAGGAGTAATAGGTCTTCCATCACTATAGTTCTTGATGCAATGATAATTATTTAAAAGTAACATTAAATGAATCAGTACATTTAGTCTCCCCGCCCGCACCTTTTGAGATGAAACGAGTTATAATTAGAAACAACTTCGATACAGCGCCCGCCCTTTTTGAATAACATGTACACAAAGTCACTAAACAAACCGTGCATAGTTGCATAGATGTCAAATGATATTTTGTAATGTCTATGCTTTCGTTTTCCTATTTCACTGATTTGCTCAAACCTAGTTGATGTTATTTTGTGCCACTTGTGATTCCCGTGCTGATATCTAGTTTATTCTAAGGATATTGAGATGTTTCTTTCCTGTCTTTACATGCAGCTTATTTTTTTAAATAATGGAAGATGGTGTAAGAGGAAATTTATGATGAAAATGTAATCTAATGTGAGTAATTTTCTTAGACTAGTAAAGTAAGGAATATTTTTATATAAGTAGCAGTAAAATTATTTAAAATATGAGATTTTGTAGATTTGTTTGTATTTCTTTTTTGAATGGATAAGGATCCGTATCATTTCCCCCCCAAAAAAGGGGAAAAAGCAACGTAGGCTGCACAAAAAGTTATTTCAACTCTAACAATTATATTTCAAGTATTAAAGCATTTCTCTGACTCCCTTCGCAGGTTCACAGCCTAACGGCGCGCTGCGTTCCTCGGCGATTCCGCGAGGGCTTGAAGGAGCACCCGGCGAACGGCCACATGACCTCGAAGACGCAGCCCACCCACACTTGTCCCTCTCCCAGACGCGATGCCCCTTCGCCCGAACACCTGGGCATCCCTTGGGGTCCTGTAGCCATCCCGGTCAGGCCCACACAGGTGCACGGGGACACAAGCGATGACTCGTCTGCGCCCCCAGGTTCCCCGAGGCGCGTTCCCCGTCGGAGGAGCGGAGGACGTCGAGACACCCCTGGCTGGTACGCAAGACCCGAGTGCGGTTCCCTGACAGATCCTGCGGTTCCAGTTGCTGCTGACAGTGTTTGCTAGACTGTAATTATTTCTTTTTTAATGACTGTGCAGGTTACATACGCATACCTATATATTTTACAAAAAAAACACAATGTTCATGTCCTTAAAATTATTAAAAAACACATTACATTGAAAAAATAAGCCCATTCAAAGTTCTTGATAAAGAAAGGCATTCTTTTCCCTCGTAGAACCGCTTTTATGTATGAAGATTCATGAGAAATCCTCACGACTGATCTTAAGCGACCTCTCCCACTGCCTCTGCGAAACACTACAACTCGACGTCCCCATGAGAGGTCCAGCCCAAGTGATGTGCAATTATATGCTGCCATAGCCATACATATCACCTTCACATTCATGAGAGAAGTTTAAAAAAAATATCAACTCCCGTTTTTTTCTGAATATAAGTGGATCATAGGGTCATTTATATTTGAAACATGAATAATACAAAAAATATAATGAAATGCAACCAGTCAAATCGGTAACGTGGTCGACAATAAAAGATTACTACTTTTTCACTATTTTAGAATTTGAGACAATACTCTGTAGTGTTGCTAAAGGAGTAATTATAGTGAAATAGCTAAATACTTCAAGCTCCTGGACTTCAAGTGACTCTGCATAATATTGAGTGTGAGGTGTGTAAATATATGAAAGAAAATCATCACACGATTTGGGTTACATTGTTTTCTCCAGAATTACTTACTCTGTAAACATAAAATCTTCTGTATGAAGGTGTGTATATATTTAAAAATGTATTTGATACAAAATGAAATGTACTACAGCTAATATGTGTACCACAGCTAATGCAATTACTGTACTGAATGTAGAGTTTTCAGTAGACAAGCTTATGGTATTGAATAGAGGTGCCTCATGTCAAGGGATAACTGCTCTATTAAAATGATACAATTGAAACTTCACTTTAAGTACTGCAATCTTTAACATAATCACCTGGTTCAGTTTAAATTCTTGATTGTCACTTCAGTATGAAAAATGGTATGGAAAATATTTAAATTTCTAGATCATAAGGTGATTTGTGATTGGCAACTGTGATCAAACTCAGCATGGTGGTAACAGATAATGTTTATATGATGTTGAATAGTGTGTACGTCTATTTTTCATAAACTGTGTACTTTATGTATGAAAAAGATACCTTTGTTGATAACTCTAAATGTAATGGTGCCTTTATGGAGTATATTGTAACTAAATGCCTTATATGTTAGTGATTATGTTGTATTATAAACGATAGATTACAATCAATATTTTAGTGTTGTATAGTCACTTATAAGAACAAGCTCAGATGATCCATGTACTTACAAGTTCATAAAATGTAAAAAAAAAAAAAAGTAATTGCTTTCAGTTATTCAATCATCTGTAAAAGCAAAATTTGAACCCTCAAGAAATGTAAGAAATAGTATATGCATTTTAAGGTTTATAGCTACTAAGCACATCTTAATTCTGGTGTGTTTCTGAGAAAGCAATGCAAGTACTTCTCAGAAAAAAAAGTTAAATTGAGAAGAATGTATTATATCATGTATTATGGATTTACATGTATGAAGTTTCCATTACAGATTGAATATTATTACACTTTTTTATTATGTACAGAAGATATCATTGCTCATTGCTTTCCATATTTCAGTTCAATGGCACAGATAGAAACAATTGCCTTTGTATCAGTATTAAAATGTCTTCTTTGATGTATGCATCCTGATTTCTGGTTTCAAGTGCCATACTGCAAACATCATTTATTATTTCGTTATTTCCTTTTCAGCCTTTATTTTATGCTGCTTACTCAATAGTAGTGTTATTTCCAAAACTCAAGAAAACTTCCTTATTACTCAAATATATAGACTCCATATACTATGTTTTCTTTTACCCTTTATGTGCAAGAAATGTGACACCTGATTTTCCATTGGCACAACCATTTTAAATTGGTGAAGAGTATATCAGATTAGTGTCTAAAAGGAAGATGTAATTTTTTTATTTAATATTTTAGATTTCTCTCTCTCTCCCCTTACAAAAATTAAAGAAGTCTGCAAGATCGACTCATTTTTATAAAAATCTTATTTAATCTATCCATGTCCTGAAATGCCCAAATGACTAACAGAATTTTATTATACTTTGTAAACCCTGATATTTGAAAGGGTAATTCTTTAAATGTACAGGTATTCAAAATCAGACATATTTCGATTTTGACACTTCCAATATTCTTTCATTTTGAACAATCCCCTTATGGCATATTCTTTAACCTTCAATAGATTCATGTCATATTAATATACAGTATGGTTTTCTATCAACATCAAATGAAAGACTCAAAACCTTCAGAAATTCATGTTGTCAGCTTATCACATACTTGTTATGAAGCCAATAAATATGGCTGCTGTGAAAGGTTAATGGTGAAAACAAATAAATATGCTAAACATCAAAGGTCATATAGCACTATGCCAAAAAGGATAAAGAAGAGTTAAAGATTATGATAAAATATGTTAGATGTCAAAGATCAGAGAATGTTATAGAATAGTGTGGTAGTGAAATGGGAAAAGTGGGAATAAAATGAAGTAGAGCAGAGATTAGTAAAAAAAAAAAAAAAAAAAAAGGAAAAGGGTAAAGGGCATAGGGTGATGAGTGAATTGCAGTGCAACTTTGACTGGAAGGAACACGGACACTGTTCAAGGAAAACAGAGATGGCTGTTGGAGAAGTAGGAGGAGAAGAATCTGGGGGATGAGAGAAGGGGACCGGGGGAGTTAGTGAAGTATCAGGAAGTATTAGGAGGGAAGGGGTCTGGAGGACACTGTTGTGACAGAAGGAATTCATGTGAGCATTCAGGTGGGAGCGGTAGAAAGGATGGGATGTATTGGGAGAGTGTAGGAGAAAGGGGGGTGGGGGGAGGAGGAGGAGGAGGATGGATATTGGCAAATTGGCAAATGTACAGAGAGTAAGAACAGAGGGATTGGAGGGTGGATGAAAGAGCGGAGTGTTCCCTTGGGTCACGTTTAGGAAGTTTAGTATTTTTTAAAGTTTCTGGAGGGGAGTTGGGTGAAGAGGATAGAGGTTCTTTTATGAGAAGAGGGGATAAATATCTGAGGAGCAGAGGAATAGGACGGTGTAGGAGAGGATGTGATAGGTGAATGTGGAGTGGAACATTTAGGTTGCCTGGTGTGACAAGTAAAGTGAGGAGGAGTAGGCATCAGGAAGTGGTAGAGATCAGAGTATCTGTATTTAGACTGGAAAAAGAATTTAACTGGGGGAGAGGGGGAGTAGAGGTAGGATGGTTTAAAGTAGAGGGAAGAGATACTGGGGGAGATGCTGAGATCTCATGAGAAGATGGGAGAGGAGCAGAGTAAAGGACAGTTTTGGAATAAGTAAAGAGAGAAAAACATCATCATCGTGCTTCCTCTTTGGCCTCGAGTAGAGAGAGGCCTTGCTTGAATATGAGAACTGCTACCTCACATTTGAGCTTATCGGCAGGGCATCTCCAATAAAATACATTATGGGGGCCACCGCAACTGGCATATCTACATGACTGAGCAGAGCAATTTGAACTGTCATAACCAAGTTGATCACATAGAGGGCAGCGGCCTATGGAGTGACAGTGTTTGGCTGGATGCCAAAAACACCTATATTTCTGGGATTGACAAGGAAGGGGTCCATATGGTCGAACATGGCAGGACATTCTACCAATATAAACTTCAAGGGGGACATGTTTATGGAACCTTATCTTGACAATATTGGTATGGGACTGACACTGGCCTCTGGGAGAAATAGCACTATAGCACTGTACTGCCACTGCATCATAATCAACAAGGCAGGCAAGTTGGTAATTTTCACAGTATGACTAGTGTTTGTTGTAGATAGGACAACTAGTCAGGGAGACAGAAACAGTTTTGGGAGACTGTTGAAAGAGAAGGGTATTGTCAGAGTAAGGGACTGTGGAGGGAATCACAATGAACTGATCCCACTTGGCTTGGCCAAATAGAGTACTCAAAAGGTTTGCAGAGGTGGAAGCAATAGAAGGATGAGGGTGGGAGGAAGATGGGTGGTGTGGAGTGAAGTAGTTCTGGTGGGAGGGGGAA